TATGTTTATCTGGAGAAAGTGTGCTTTTTTGTCTGATTTTGTTACTTAAACTATCGACTTCATTTATTTTGCAGTATATTTTAGGTAGGTACGTGAGAAACTGATTACGAGATGGTCAAAAGTTATTTAGTTGCTCCGATTTTTATTTGGTGTACTGGATCTTGGATTTGTTTAATTGAGCTGTAGTTTTGATTAAAATAAGGATGAATTCAGAATTCCTAAAAAGCATTTTTTATCATTTAATGAACTAAGAAATATTATGGTTATGCCTAAAAATGTTTAAGTTTGAAAAGTTCAAAATAACGACTCTTTAAAAAAAAATAATTGATTACTTAGGAACTACTTGAGCGATTTCGTTCAAATTTTGAATTTTTTTCATATAAATTTATTGGGTTTTAAATGACATAAAACTTAACATACTTTACTCATCAAAAACTTTTCGGTCAACATTAAACTAAAATAATAAATAATTATTAAAATTCAAATTTTTAGTGGAATCATGTTTGGAAATAAATTTTATGATGTTGTGAAAATATTTTTTTCTTCGCCTAAATAGTTTCAAAAGAATAATAAAACAAGCAGGAACTAAAATTAACTTCAAGGGATTCAATTGGAACCATATTTTTCAGATGGCGGCTACCTGCCATATTTTGAGCTACAAGAATTCGCATTCGTAGAACACATATAAGTTTATTCAGACAAATTATGTCGCTTTTTGTTTGATTTCGTAAATTAAAATACCATCTGCTTTTATTAAATACTATATTTTAGATCAGAACGTAAAAACCCGTTCATTAGAAAATCAAAAGTTATTTAGTTGATCCGACTATTATTTCGCAAACTGTACCCTAGATTTGTTTGACTGAATCATAATTTTGTATTAAATTAATGATAAATTCACAATTAATCAAAAATCAGATTTTTATCATTTAATTATGAACTATAATTGCAATATCTAGAAATGAAAAGTTTAGAATACGATTTTTTTCTTTAAATTTTATTACTTAGAATTGATAGGCTAAACTTAACAATTCGAAATTCTTTCGACTTTCATTATATTAATGGGAGTGAATTTTTGAAATTCTCTTCATATATTTACTGTCAAAAATCCAAATCCATCATAAGAAGTTATGTTAATTTTGTGGTAATATGTTTTTTTCTCGTTTGATTTCGTATCTAAAAAATTGCTGGCATAAATTTGTTTAAGCATTTAAAGTCAAACTTTAGAACCACTATGATTGTAGTCAATATAAATCTGATAGACAAAGTTTTTTCTCCTTTAATTGCGTTTTATATGTTAAGTTTTAAAATTAATATTTTAAAACTTAACGGACCTATTACATTTTTATATTTCTTGTACATAACTTTTTTAAAATTTGTGATCACTTTAGTTTTTTTTTCTATACTTTTAACTCCTCACGTGTGCGTCATTTTAATTTATAGATCACGAGGATACGGGACCAGTTTTATCGTCTTGATATTAAGCACTTAGTAAACTTGCATCTTACAACTTACAAGAAAACTTACATTTTACTAGAGGGCTCCACCCTTTACTCGCTTTGTTTATTATTGCCTATGATTGCAAGACAATTTTTTCTGAGAATAAGCATATTCTTCCTGATTATGTCAAAATAAAAGGGTTCAATTGTTTATCGTATTAACAATTTGTTTATTGTATTAACACAGATTTGTGGTTCCCGATTCATTTGGGATAAAATTTATAACTAACCATTTCGCTCATTTACTATTGCAACTTAGCAACCCATAAACTTGTTCTTAAAATTCCTATTACATTTTTGTTCACCTAAAAAACTCTTTAAATAATTTTTTTAAAAAAGAGGTTATTTCGTATTATTTCATAAAAGTTAATTTTTAATACATTTTAAAATCATTTATTCATTATATTAAATGCTGTTGATATAAGGCTTTTTTTAAAAAAGTTAACAAAATTTATTTATTGCTTAATAATTGTTTAATGTTCAGTAAGTTAGGAACATTCTAAATATGTTTATCATAAAAAGTTGAGTTATAAGGCAATGTGAAGGGATTAAAAAAATAAAAGCGTATTTAGTTTCAGATTTCAAGATTTTTTAGATTATTTAGAATGATGTTCAAAATTAACAGAGAATAAGGATAATGGATTATTTTTGCAGGTAGATATCATTAAATAAGAAATAAAGAAATATTTCAGAAATAAAAAAATACCTTTAGAGTTGTTATTCATTTTATGCTGATGGCAATCAAAGGAATCTTGAACTTTTTTTATAATTAAAAAAACATATCGCGCGATTTTTTGACCACTAAGAATTCGCAAACAGTAATGAAATATGATTTCAGGCCATTATCTTTTTATCTATATATATAAAAATGAATACTACTAAAACCTCCAAACAAAAGTGATGAAATGAAAGTTGGTTGCATCATAGATTATGTTGCATTAGCATATAGTGCTAAAAGCACTCAATATGCACTGTTGAGACACATCTTTTGCCAATTTTACTGCACAAGAATTGCCACTTTATTTACCAGACTTGAATCTTATAGAATTTTCGATAAGTCCTTGGACTTAAAAAAATGCATTGTCAAGGAACTGGATAAAATATAAGGAGGTAAGTTGCGGACCTTAGCAAAAAATTTTGCATTAAAGTCAAACCTAGTCACGCTGAAATTGTTAGTAAATATTTTACAGACAGGGATTGTCTCATGTTTATTTGAAAGTTTTGTGTAAGGTTTTAATAAGCATCAAAACGAAAGTGTAAATGTATCCAAGTTATTTTTTATAAATCTGCAATTTTTTTTACCTAAAAAGTAAATTTAAATGTCTGGCTAAAAATCGAAAGATTCCAATTAATCTTCTACCAGCAAAATACTTTAAAAGTAATTGTGAAATATTTATGTAATATTTTTTGGCTGAATAATGCAACTTCAACAATTTAGAAATATTATTTTATGGCAAAATAATTAAGCTGTTTACATTCGTAGCATTTGTCAGAAATAATTTTTTTTTGTTGAACGAGTTCGTTTTTTTTGTTCATACAGATAAAAACAACTTTATTTGTATGAACAATTGTTTCAAAAACTATTTTTATTTTACGCAATTGTTTAAAAAGGTTATAAAATGTATCAATAAAAAGTTTTACGATTGTTTAATAAATAAATTTTTAAATTTTGTAATTAGCGCTTGGTTAAAAAAATAATAAAAAATTAATTAATGATATTTGAGAAAAAAATTCCCTTAGTCACTTTATATGGTTTTTAATAACTCATTTTGTAACATTATTTATCGGAACAAGATATAATATACTGTAGTTTTCAAAACAAAATAATATTTTTGTAATTGAGATGAGCAAATTTCGCAGTTTTTATATTATTTCAATTATCTGTTTTATGTAATGTATCAAAAAAATTTTTTAATAAAAAAAAAAAAAAAAAAACAGGAGTAAATTTTTTTTGTGTTCAAGAGGCTGCATTTGTAAAAGTTTTTTTTACATTGAAACATTTCGTGATGTAACTTCCCCCTATTGGCAGTTTACATTAACCTCAAATATATAGACTGATTATTTAAGAGCATATCTAGGCCTTATGCTTTTAAATAATAAATCAATGCAAACCGCTGCAACTATAGTTATAAAAGCGGTGTCTAAGTATTGTAAAGTGACTATGCGCAACAAGAAAATACCTTCTGGTAAGAAATTGCTGAGTTAGCTCTCCTTCTAGAAAAAAGTACGAGACAGGAGATAAATAATTTACAATTGTAAATCTTGTACTCATTTTTGGAAAGAACGGTTAGGACTCACATTTTTTTGCCCTTTATTTTCCACACTGCGATGAGGCGAAACGATATTAGAAAGAAGAAAAGCTTCCGGTTGCCAATTAAGGTTTGCATTTTGAAAATAATCTCTACGATCCGTAACTTTTTTTTCTAAATTTGTTTCGCAACGTGACAGTGTTAAAATAAAAGCGAATAAACAAATGCGCACTCTAAATAAATGAGCAATAAAGTGTTTTTATTATCAATGTTTACAAGTTGTTACTCATATTGAAGCAATGATTAAAGTAATTTCATTATTTCTTCATATCTTGTATCGTTTTAGATATAGGAACGCTAACGCCTTTGTTTGTCCCCAGTTGGCGCTGTAGAGAGCATCATTAGAAAATGAATTAACCATTTTAATATACATAGATAACTATTTTATTATTGAGGCTGAAATATTTAGAAAGTTAAGAAAGAGAATATGGATTTAAATGGGCACTCAATATACAATCAAGTAACATGATGCATTTATTTTGAGATTTTCCAAAAGTTTCCATGTTTAGAATTACTTTAAAACTTTTTGAAGTAAGAATAATCAAAATATAGCATGTGTTGTCGCAAAGATTTAAGAACTTTGAAAAAATTGCGGTGCTATCGGTGTCACTAAGGGTGTATGTTAACATGCTTTCTTTTTCCGTAAAGAGTAAACAAATTTATGAAAATAATAAACTCAGATAATTTTTGTCTATAACTTTCAAGATTTGAATACATAAATAGCACGTGCCTTTTCTCTTTGGAGTAAATTCATTTCCTTAATGGGGTAAAATACAGTCAATAGTGCTTTTCAAATCAGGAAACTATATTGCATTCTTAATTTCTCATTTTTTAAATTTTTTTTTATGATAACAGCGATAATTTTTTTCCTCAAAACACCAAAATGAAGTCGAAATGCCGAGTAAAATGATTCACATGAAGCTAAAAATGAAGAGTAGTACATATGTATGAATATCCGAACGGCAGCTCGATGAAAAATTCGAAACTTCTTTTTTTAAAAGAAAAAGAACATTTCTATTGTCTGAATATCCGCTGTAGCTACCTGTAACAAGATGAGAAAGAAGGTCCCTTCTTTCCTTTCACTCTGCGTGCGTGCCCTTTCAGAAGGGGGGAAGTAGGGCGGCGATCAGGGCGCAGACGAGTAAGAGCGCGAGGGCTTGCTGCTTCGAAGGTCGAACTCTTCTTCCCCTTCGGATCGGCGCAGAGGGGAACTGCGCTGATCGTTTGGAACGAAGAGAGGCGAGAAAGAGAATTGAGACAGAAACCGATGTAAAGAGTATATGCGTGCAAAAATGGCCGTTTCTTCTAGAAGAAGCGTTAGATGAATGTCGCTCAAAAAGAGTGGTTTTTTGTTTAAAAAATGGCGAGGTGACGATACTGCAGTGAACTCCATCGAGACAAGATTTCTCAATCGAGTAATGCAATTCCGTGGTTATCCAAGGCGAGGAATCGGGGAGTAACTGTGGCGGCTTTCTTAATAAGGAGCTGGAACAATATGGCTTCTACCGGTGCTAAGCCTACTCCAAGGGCCACAGAAAATCCCAGCCCCACAACGGAAGGGCCCCCAGAAGTATTACAACAGGGGCACTTTTTTACTAAAAAAACATTCCACAAACCCACCTATTGTCATCACTGCACAGATATGTTATGGGGGCTAATTGGTCAAGGGTTCATATGCGAAGGTGAGCACTGTTTGCTTATTAATGTGATTGTTGTTATTGCAGCACTATTAAAAAAGCAATTATGGTCACTAGATGTAATTACTCTCTGGAAAGTCTTAATATTAATAATAATAATAATTTTATGGTTAAATTCAACCTGGTTTATTTATTTGAAACGTAATAGTGCAAAGGATGCTCCATTGAATTGAGTAATTTTTTTTAAATAAAATAAAACATTTATTGTTTTAATTGTTAAGAGTTCTAGAAATGGATTATTGAAAATTATGCATGAAATCATTGGCATTAAAAACTAGCATAGTATGTTTTTAAAATCACTTGATTATTTGTTGTTTTTTCGATAAAATCAATATGCTATTATCGATTTTGATTATTTAAGTGAAAATGTTGCACTTTTAAAGTAAATAGTTTTCTCTAATAGATTTATAGCTGAATTTATTTCCAGTTATTATAAAATAATAAACATAAGCCGCACAAAAAAAATAATTTGACTCAGCGAATCGTTGAGTAAGTATTTATATCGATAAAAACACACTTTGCGATTACATCGATTATTTAATGCATGTTTTTTAATGTATAATCAAATATTATATTAATTTAATAAAAAAATAAACTAGGTTGTTTAATAACACTCATGAAGATTTTCAGATTTTGATTTTCATAAAATATAACAAATATGAGGAAAGAGCACCTGTTTATTTTTTTATTGGAACTTAAAATATTTAACATCCATTAAATTAAAAAAAAAGAATATAATATTAAAACTTTAATTCTATACACTCACACATATTTTTCAATTCTTATGATGTCCGTTTAATGACACAAACAAAATTGAAATTATGTAGAATGAAATAGAAAGAATTGAATTAAATTATATTTAGAGAGAGGAAATGATAAAGGCCAATGAATGACAACACCTTGAGTGCGCTACCCGCATAACAGGTAAAAAGAAGAAAAACAAGAGGGAGAAACGATTGTAAGGTAGGCGAATAACTTCTTTCAGCATCATTTGATGAGGGGGTAATAGAGGTAACCCCTGATGGTCTGCTTATCTGCAGATATAGTGCATTTGCTGTGGAAACAGTTTTACAGAATATTAAGGGCAGGTGTTCATACAAGTGTTTATTGATTCAACTGGGGGCGAATGTGGGAAAAAATTCCAACTTTTATTTAGTCTGGAAACAGATATTGAAAAAAGTAATTTTGACAGTTTATGATATTTTTATTACGTTTTGTTTCAGTTCAAAAAACTTTTTAAAAGCAGTAGGTTTTCCTTTCTTTTGAAAATAATTTTACTATTGCGAAGTATTTTTTTAATAGATTGGGTTATAATATTCAATTAATGCATAAAGAATCCTACAATTTTATGAAAATTAAAAGCTGCGTTTGAATATCTATAAATTTTGGTAACAAATTTTGGTAGACNAGTAGGTTTTCCTTTCTTTTGAAAATAATTTTACTATTGCGAAGTATTTTTTTAATAGATTGGGTTATAATATTCAATTAATGCATAAAGAATCCTACAATTTTATGAAAATTAAAAGCTGCGTTTGAATATCTATAAATTAATTAGCAAAAGAAGCGCACTTATAAGTATGATTATAATAATTGATACATAGATTTTGGTAAAAAGTATTTATTCTCCCTATATATTGATTGCTAAACAATAAACAGCACGATTTTAAATAAATAAATTTATGTTTTGAAATTTATTTATTTGAAACAATTTGTATTTAAATACCTTTTAGTGCAAAATTTTTTTTCTATGAAATTTACTTTGTATTTGAAAGATTTTAAGGAGGAAAACTTGTCTGACTTGAGGAGTAGTATTTATATTCTCTAAATTAACGATATGATTTAGAAAAATCTATTAATATTATTACTATTCAAGAATTAGTAAAAAATAGTTTTCAGTGTCTCGTTTTAAGTAATTAGGTCAGTTACAATTATTCGTTACTACATTTTCCTTTAAAAATGACTTGCTTTTAAATGGAACAGAAGCTTTTTTTTATTTCCGGATCAAAAATTTAAATCTTACAATTATTTTCACAATTTAAAAAATGTACAGATGTTTCCAAAATTCATCCAAATTTAAATAAAAATTATCTTTTTTTTAAAAAAAAGTTTCTGGATGACTAAGAAACAACAGACAAGTTTAGCAATGGGTAATAATACTATAAATGTAATTATTGTGATTAACGTCAGTTAATTAAAAAAGCTGTTTCATTAGAATGCAACATTAATAATAATTATCTCAGAATTCTAATGATAAAAATATGAATCGTATTAAAGTATAAAAGAAGTATTGCTTATTCAATATGATTTAAAGAATACGTAGCAGCTATTTATAAATCATAAACTCTATTTCTTAATTGGAAAATTTAATTGGAAACATCTCTTTAAAAAATTAATTGCTTCAATGGACATTCATATAAGCAATGCTCTTGAAACCTATAATCTTAACTCCGAGTTTACACAAGATCGATTGTATCAACAAACTGAAAATACTTTATATGTTTGACGGCTGAATAAACTTTGCAAAACATGTACAGCACGCTTTCTTATTCAAAACATGTTTTTGTAAAGCAGCTCACCTAAACAATGCAGAATTTCATCATTATATCGAAATGCGTTATGAACGCTCCAGTTTCAGACAATACTTAATATTTGATCACGTATATATTTAACTATTCATTTTTTTAAACAAAAAATTTACTATTTGTTTAAAAAGAATTATTACTCCTTTTGCTAAATGACATTATTTTAAAAGCATGTTTACTAAAGGAAATATATAATGATAAAACATATTAAGCGTATATTTAAAAGTATTACATTTTTAGATTTAAGAATATGTTATTTTTATCTATAAGTAAGAAAAATTAAATATTTGAGAATTTTTTTTTAATTAACCAGGTGATTTTTGATGAAAAAAATTGTTTTATAAACAGCCTCAATTTTCTGTACAGGGTGTTTTCAGTATTTAACGTTCATATATATTTTTAGAATGCGAGTCAAGAGTAAAATAAAAATAGTCAATAATTTTTTAATCCAGGATAAAAACTAAAACATGATTAAAATCTAGCTAATCAGTAATGATGAAGGAAGGTTGAAAACATCGCAATATGTTTGATTGCTAAAGGAAACTTAAAGAAGATGAAGAGAAATTATTAGAAACTCCAGCAAAGAATCTGGTTTTGATTTTGTAATACCGCATTCCTTAATAGTGTTATTAGATTTCGATTACGATAGTACGATTTTATACGATCATGATTTGTTTATTCCTTGCTTAAGTATTAATTTATGACTTCTAATAGCTTTACTTTTAAACTTAGCTTCTTACAAAAATTCTGAAAATAGATGTAAATAATATTATTCTTTTCAAAATTTGAAGTTTTAGTTTGCTCTGAGAAAATGATAAAAGGCAGAAATTTTCATTAAACATCACAAGTTTAAGAAAGAAAATTGATTTTACAAAGAAAGTTTAAATAAATTTGGAGATCTAATACGATTTACAAATCGAAGTAAACCGAATCGAGCAATCGAATATAAATAAACTACTTTATGATTGATTTTATGGTTTGATACCGATTTTATGGTTTAATATTGTACTTACTTATAAGATTAGAGAAGATACATAAAATTACTTTTAAAACTCGATAATTGTTGGAATTCTTTATTAACAATGAAAAAGTAATGAGTTAATTATTCTGTATGTTATAGTACAATGTTTTGAATTTATGGTTCATCGCATTTGTTAATATTTTAAAGTTTATAAGAAATTAAGTATATTAAATATATTGTGAAGAAAACATAAAATGGTTTTTCGTTAAAAAATCGTGCTTAGTTGTCACAAATTTGACAAGCTTATAAATATTTTTAGGGAAAATGCATTTCATTATAATTCCAAAATTAAATATAAAATGGCAAATTAATCTGTTTTTATACAGCATTATATTAATTAATACTTCTACAAAGTTCATTTTATTTATTTTATAAACATAAAACACATCTTAATTATAGTTAATTTTCTATACTAAAATTTGTCGTGTTGTGTAGTGTTGTAATTTTTTTAACAGATTGATAATTGCATCAATGTTTGCTTACTAAATCTGAAGTCAAAATGTTTTTTGGAAATATTTTATTTCGGGACAAAGTTTTAGAGAGAATCAGTATAAGTTTTTAAAATAAGTCGATTTAAAATAAAAAAAATTTTTAATACAAAAAAGTAAAATAATGTAAAAATTCAAAAATAAATTATCTATATCTTATACTTTCATCACGTAAGTATGTACATAATGTCACTTTAAAAATGAAATCTTAAGTAATCTATACATTGCAGAAAATTTAGACGCTTGTTGAATTATAATATTATGTAAATGTTCTGCATTCTTAGTATGAGGCTAAATTGAACTATAATACCGTATTTCTGATTGCCGGATACTATGATAAATTTGAACGAAATATGGTTCAATTTAACATCCTCTTATAGTGGTTGCGTATTTGCACAATATTATGGTTCAAAGTACCGTTGTTATGTTCAACGTTGAACTAAATCTTTTGAAAATATAGTAAAACTTAAAATGTAGTAAATTTTTAAAATGTACAAAACTTAAACAAAGAGATTATTGTTAATTGTGCTTCGAATTTCTGAGACTTTGCATAGGGATATTAATGAATCAATGGGTAAAATAAAAATTCGAATTGTCAAATTTTTTCAAATTCGAGTTTTTTAATTGAAAATATAATGTTATTTTTTCATGATTAACATTACAACATTATTCATAATAACAACATATTAATAATAAAACGTTAAATGATTTAAATAACATAAATAGCTTGCAACATTCATAAAAATTCTTTTTAAAGAAAGGAAGACCTACGATTCAAAGCAAAGCAGATTCATTATGGACTGAATATTCAATATTTGAAGCAAATGAGTTGTATGCATTGACAAAATAATATTTTTTTTAAAACAAAATAATAGCAAGGTATAATAAATTTAT